TCTCATTAAAAAAATCCTACATATGGATAAATTTTCTCCATCTAAAAAAAGAAAAAGTTGATTTCCTATTGTCATTTGATCTAAATTTAATACCAAACAAAATAATATACTTGAAAGCTCATCAGCTTCCTTTCAGGCTTTCATTATTTGCTAATGTTATTACTCCCTCTAGAGGCAGAAAATACAAATGATCTATCAACCCTAATTCTGGTAGGTTTTTTGAAGTAAACCAAAAAAAGTTAACTTTTTCTTTGTGAAATTGTTAATTTAACCAGAAAAAAATTTCATCAGTGTAACTTTTACACTAAACAGTGAATTTCCTATTGTTATTCAAGCACCCAAATGAGCCTATTTATATTTAATAAGGATCCTGATACAGCCTAGTAAAGATCATATAACCTCTTATGAGATTAGCTATAGAACATAATATTCATATGAGAAAAATAAGAATTATGGAATCAGTAAGCTCAACCTCATCTGGAAGTCTAGAAAGCAGCTCGTATTACGTTTAATACGAAAGAAGCACGTATTACGTTTAATACTGTATTATGAAAAACTCATGAAACAAAAGGATGGTGACTTTTTCTTCTATTAATAATTGGTACAATACATACTATTTTGGGAGGCCTAAATGTTCAGACACAATGGATCACAAATAGATGACAAGCAGCAAGATCTAATTCCATCACCTTCCAAATCAGAGTAAGAGCTCAGGCTTGTTAATTTCATTTATTCTTTTAACCCAAAGAATCTCAACTCTGGAGCACATTATAATCACTCAGGGAGCTTTAAAAATTAACTTATGCTTGGGCTTCATCCCAGAAAATAAACCAGACAGAATCTTTCCCAGTGGACCAGTGTATCAGTAGTTTTACACAACTACTCAGCTAAAACTATCAAACTCTTAGATATGACACTGAAAACACAGGTAACACCAAGAAAAAACAGATAAATTGGACTTCATAATAGAACCTGAGTTGGAAGACTAAATCAAGGTAATCTAGTAGGAAAAAGGAAACAAAACACCAGAAAATATAGATATGGAAAACTATCATTCTCATAATAGATGTCCCGGGGCAGTGGGGGGAGATGGTGAGGAGAACACAGTTGAACAAATAATGGAGATAAATTCTCCTGAATAAAAAAAGATGAAAAGCCTCAGAATAATAGGGCTAGTTCTCAGAGTATGAAACAAGACAAAAAGGAAAAACACACAACCAGCAACATTATAGTGAAATTCAGAATGTGAAACACAAAAGATTTTTAATAGAGTACATGGCACAAAGCAGATACACAGTAAGTTTTTATAGAAAAATCAACCAAAGCATGAAATAAAGATATCATCAAACCTTTATGAGGCAGTTATTATATCAGATCCAATTCTACTAGGGATAAAATCCCCGAAAAAACAGTGATTAAAGGTTTATGGTAAGAACTGAAAAAGAATATTTGAATATCAGTCAAGTGTTCTGGTCTCCAAGATTATAGCTAAAATTAGCTCCCGGCCAAATTGCGGTATTATTTGTCTCTGTATTTCTGTTTAGGCTATTATTTTCAGGAATACCTGAGACCTTTATCTTCAAGGTAGGTTTCAGTAAGGCAGATCTTGGCTAGTTTAGTTATGGTTATTTGGAGTACAACACATTAAATTGTCCTTTTAATACATCTTAGTCAAAGCCTTGAGTGCTCTATTTGTGTCTACACACACCAGGAGCTGCAGAGATAAAGAGGATGTAATAAACATGGACCTAACTGTCAGACACTTCCAGTTTTCTAATAATAATCGCAAGCCAGGGATTTCTCATAAACACATTCTCTGGCAAGGAAATGTCCTGTATATTTTTCTGCCCATTCTTTTGTAGCAACTAAGTCAGAGGCTCACAGAAGTTACTCAGTAATGGCTTACCTGGTCAACATCAGCATTTCTTGGAAGAAAATAAACAATATTATTAGTGATCTTCTGGGAAAGTCTGAAAATTTCAAAGGTGGAGAGTAGTTAAGGAAAAGTAACAAAAATAGCAGCTAATTTCTGATCAAAAAGAGATGTTCTTTACTTATCATAACCCAAATGTATTTTGGTATATAACAAAAAGGCACAAATTTAAATCCCCTAAAGAAACCCAAACAAGAATTAAATACAAGATTTTGTAATTCAGTAGTAATTTTCTCTGATAGATCAAAGATTAGAGTTTAAACCTATTTATTCAATTATCTTAGTGGCAGGCAGCCAAGAGTCAGAAATATACGCTTTCTCTTTCTGCCATATCTTAATTATTGAGAAAACAGAGTAGGAAACAGGAAAGCGCAATACCACTTCTTTCCAGTAAAGAATAAAGACAAGTAACTCTGGCTACTGTAGTCTACATTCTAAATTTTAATTAGCAATTTAGAAACATGTTTCCTCTTAAGAGTCAAACAGGTGATTCTATTGGGGAGCGGCAGGTGAAGAAAGGAACAAATAATACATGTTATTCTTTATGAAATAAGGGTTTGCTTCAGTATCTTGGAAGAGTCACAGGAAAAATTTGAATATATATAGCAAATTCACCTGAGTCAGTATAAGTCGAAGAAAAGTTATGAGATGGTCACCCACAGACTCGACTCTAGGGATAGGTTTTGTGGAAATTCCCAATCTTCAGACAATTCCAAACAATTTATGCATTTTCATTGTTTTATAATGGTAAAACTGGATAGGGAAATGCAACCTCACATTGGTCATTACTTTTGGAGATCAACTACTACATAATTTTTACAAATCTGCTTTTTATTTTTTATTTATTTATTTTTTCAAACCTGCTTTTTATATGCCAAATAAACTAGAATCCATCAAATGCTTTTAGCTAATCTATCTCCCCTCTTCACTAATTTCTCTCTATCATACACGCACACACCCCCCTTCCTCTCCACACCACTTTTTAAGTAAATTCTTAGGACTTCCAAAGGATATCCATCAGGAGACATCATCGTCCTAATGTCAAAAGTCTCTGCAGTGGCGTAGTTTGGCCCTCCCCAAGGTGGGCTGAGGAACACAACATCAGCTTTTAAACAAGAAGCCAGTAGCAGGAAATCTCCACAGATGAACTCTATCTTATCTGCTACACCATAAACTTCTGCATTATTACGAGCAAGATCAATCTTAACAGGATCAATATCAACGGCAATCACTAAAAACGGGAAAAGAAAATGAGTTAATTCATATTATTATTTATACAGGATAGTTTGTCTTCCCAATAATCTACTATCTTCTGTACAAGAATCTTTTTTTAAAGACTAAGAGACAATTGGCAACATATATCAGAGATAAAGACTTTAATTAAAACTTTTTATTTAAATTAGAAAGATTCATTTCTATTATACCAAGAAAATGTGACTGAAGGACCTGGCTTTCAAAGTTGTCTCACTCAGACAGCTTTACCTAAGTAAGTGGCAACAGTTGACAAAAAATAGCTACTGAGGGCCAAATATGTGGCACAGCCTGAGCAGCAAACACTTGAAAAGGTCTCCGACTACATGTAAAGCCTATAATGCTAGGTTTTAAAAAAGACAAATTTCCTCGAAATGTGGCAATGCCCAAATGAAGACAAATCTGACAACTTCTACAGAAAACCAAAATAAAACACATTTTTATAAACCTGGATAGCCAAGTTATGAAGAAGAAATGTAAAAACAGCTGCTGATGATATCTAATGAAACATTTTAGGTAAAGGAACAGACAATATTATGTTTTTACCAAATGGACTTTCATTTAATTTATTGCAGTTTCATAATTAGCAACGCAAACAAAAGAATTTTAGCTGACTGATGTCTTGCACTAAATTACTCAAGTACTCTTATGTGCACATGTGTGCTAATGGCAATACTCTATATTTGAAAGAGCCAAGTGGAACCCTGACTCATAAGCACAGTTGCCATGGAAATGTAGTTGTTTTTCAGAAAATGCTAGTTTCCAAACTTGCTAACATTTTTGAGAAATAATGCATGCAATCACCTGAACAATGAATACAAGCACCAATTGTAACATATTGCAAAATCATGCATGCACGATGCTGTTTTTCTTGTTCTAAATGAACTAACATTCACCTTTATGAGAAAAAATCCTTTTTAGCTACTTAATCTGCTACATTTATAGTTCACAGACAGATGGAAAGCTATGCTGACAATACAAAAAATTCAAAAGAAAATATTACTTTCGACATCAAATCTATTCAGTTAATCCTGTTTTCATCTGTATTTCTTTTGGAGGCAGACTTTGTTTTTAGGCCCAATAGAAATGAAAGCACTCAGTCTATCACATAAATGAAATGTTGACAAATGTCTGATGATACTATATAGAACTGTGCTGTCTAGTAATTGTAGCCACTAGCCACATATGGCTATTACCATTAAATTGACTAACATTATATAATATTAAAAATTTAGATCCTCAGGTACATTACCACATTTCAACTTTTTAACAGCCACATGTATCTACTGACTACCATACTAGACAGCACAGACACACGACATTTCCCTGATCACAAAAAGTTCTACTAGGCAGTATTGATGCTGAACTACTGGAATGCATAGAAAGGGGAAAAATACCTTTAACAGAAGCAATATGCAAAACTTTGCAGATTTCCTAACCATTTAGTTGAGTATATGCATAGACAGCAACTATCTGAATGGAAACAAATCTGGCACAAAGGGATAACGTCGATTTTACACACTGCCATTTTCATGTGTGTATATACATGTATATGTATGCATACAGTTCAAGTATAATTGATTATATGCATATGTGTGTATATAAGCACACATGCACATACATTATAGTAGGAAATTCAAAACAGTTAAGTGCAATTGATTATATGTGTGTATGTACATATGTATGCACAAACATACCAAATTAACTGTACTTTCATTGTTTTGAATTCCCTATCAGCTGACCCACAGTAGGGGAATACCAAGAGGAGTATCAATAACTAACATTCATTGGGTCCCTGTGAGTTACCACTTGTGGTAGGGAAGCAGGTTATGGAACACCATTGCCCTGAACATGCTGGAGGGTTCCTTAGCTTCCAGTCTCGCACGCTGCCAGGGCAGAAGTCAGGTCATTATAGCACTGGGAAGGCACAGTGTTTGCCGTATGCCTCCTTTTTTCCCCAGGGGCTGGCAATCTATAGGTTAAGTGATTAAAAGACACTATGGGGCCAGGCGCAGTGGCTCACGCCTGTAATCCCAGCACTCTGGGAGGCCAAAGCGGGAAGATCGCTTGAACTTGGGAGTTCAAGACCAGCCTGAGCAAGAGCAAGACTCCATCTCTTCTAAAAATAGAAAAAATTAGCCAGTCAACTAAAAATAGAAACAACAAAAATTTAGCTGGGCGTGGTGGCTCGCACCTGTAGACTCAGCTACTCAGGAGGCTGAGGCAGGAGGATCATTTGAGCCCAGGAGCGTGAGGTTGCTGTGAGCTAGGCTGACGCCACAGCACTCACTCCAGCCTGGGCAACAAAGCGAGACTCTGTCTCAAAAAAAGAACACACTATGGGGCTGCGATGGGAGTTGGTCTGTGAGAAAAGGAAGAAGTGGTCGCCCTTTAGCTTGGGACCCACGTTAGACATTTTCCTTTACCAAATGTGTACTAAGCTACAGAAAGCCTTGGCAAAAGATCTGTACTTACAGAAATACAAATCTACAATATGGTCTGTTTCCATAATATTTTGAGAAAAATTCCAGATCTATTTGCTACTTTATCAGGGGCAGATATTTTATTATTTTTTAAAGTTTTAGTTATTTATTTTTATCAGGGGAAATTGTGGACTTGTGATGCAGTCCCCCACTGCCACAAATTATGCAGTCGCGTTTCCCACATGTGGGGAAATCGCAGGGGTCGGCACATCTGGAGCACAATGGATAAGCCTCGCCCTGGGAACAACACCTTCATGGTCATGGTATCTGCCCCACCAGCTAAGTATTAGAGGGCAGATATTTTAATTGTTGTGTTATGATACAACGCCAAAATGATGAATTTTACAACTTCTCAGGAAAAAATCACTTTTAGGCAATAAACATTGATTTGAACTCATAGGAATGGCTTATCCGGCGAAGTGAGAAAAGGACTTTGGGAGTAAATAGTGAGCTCAGGAAAACAAAGTAATTACTATTTCTGTAAATATGAAAATAGCTTTTATCTAGGCTGACAGGAGACCATATAATGTTAGCAAATGTCATACCTTGGAACGCAAATGTCATACCTTGGAGTGACCCCCTCACACCTTGGAATAGGGACCACAGCTCAGCACTGGTCTTAAAGTCAATGCTATCATAAGGTGATAATATCATTTTTAGAATAATTATTTGATAAAGTCAGCTTCTCTGACTAGACTGAGCAGGGACTGGGTCTGTTTTTTCTACAGCATGGTATTACCAATGCCTAATACAGTGTCTGGCAGTACACAGTAGGTGCTCACTAAAATTTGTTTTACAATCAAGATATAATTTACATATAGTGAAACGCACACACAGGTCTTATGAATTTTGACAAATGTGTACACCCATGCAACCAACACCCTAATGAAGATCTATAGCAGCACTGTCCCACTGAAATACAATGTGAGCCATGTAGGTACTTAAAACTTTTCTAGTAGCCTTATTAAAAAAGTGAAAAGAAATAGGTGAAATTAACTTTAATATTTACTTAACCTGACATGTCTAAAATATTATGATTTCAATATGTAATCAACATAAAGTTTATGAATGCAATATTTTACATACTTTTCCTTGTCCTAAGTCTTTGAAAACTAGGGTATATTTTATACTTACAATACATTTCAATTCAGACTGGCCATATTCAAGTGCTGCAAAGCTAATGTGGCCAGTGGCTACTGTGCTGGACAACACAGAACCAGAGCATTTTCATCTCAGAAAATTCCCCTATTTTGTATGCCCTCTTTGAGTCAATTCTCTTTGTCCCCAGACACAACCACTGTTTTAGTTTCATCATAGATTAACCTGTTCTAGAACTTCATATAGAGGAACTCTAACAGTAAAGAAAAAATCAATGTTAAATTTCGCCTCCTCATTTTCTAGCTCCCATATTATGCTTTCCAGAATTACATTATGCCTCCTGAGTTAACGTTAAGAATTTCATATAAATTAATGAGATTCAGTTGAAATCTGTTGAAATGAAAACTATCACTGATATGTATGAGGATACTGAAAAAAATATATGCATCTTCAGAGTATGACTTGACAATCAATGTCTTTAAAATATCACATTATACTACAGTTTAAAGATAATTTAGAAGCCAGTATGGTGGCTCCTGTCTATAATCCCAGCACTTTGGGAGGCCAAGGCAGGAGGATCACTTGAGGCCAGGAGTTCAAGACCATCCTGGGCAATATAGTGGGATCCAGTCTCTATAAAAAATAGAAAAATTAGCTGGGCAAAGTGGCTACATGGGAGGCTGAAGCAGGAGGATCACTTGAGCCTGGAAGTTTGAGGTTGCAGTGAGCTATGACACTGCTGCATTCTAGCCTGGGCGACAGAGTGAGACCCTGTCTCAAAAAAGATTTAGAAAGGACAGGGATATCAGAGTCAGTTTGGGCCAAACATTCAATTTCTTAAAATCTTCTTTTCCCTGGGAAAAAGCACATTACCTAGTTGACACAGTTACTGGTAGATGAATAGCAATGGAGATTTTCTTTCTTGTGATTCCAAAGTCAAACCGCAAATATTACATGAAGATGACATAATATTTATAAGATTTTGAGTCTTTGAATGTTAAAGCTGAAAGGAATCATGAGGTTATCTCAATTCAACATCTCCTTTAAATTAAAGTTAAATGACACCCAAAGTCATAAAGCTACTGAGTGAGTGGCAAAGCTGGGACTCCCTGTCTACTCTTCTTTCCTTCTAAAGAACAGTCTCCTATTTTAGTATGTTTGGTTTCATAGAATGTTATGATCTTACTTCATCTCTTTATGTCTCAGTTTATCTGTGAAAAGCAGATTAACAAACACTTCACAAGATTGTTGACTAAATTAATTAAAACATACAGTTGATCCCCAACCCCTCATGCAGTCATATCTTTATATAACTTCTGACTCCCCAAAAAGTTAACTACTAATAGCTTACTGTTGACCTGAAGTCCTACTAATAACATAAACAGTTGATTAACACGTATTTTATAGGGTTATATGTATTATATTATATACCATATTCTTAAATCTTAAGGAAGAAAAAATACATTTACAGTACCACACTGTATTTATTGATACTGTAAGTTTATATCATCTGTTTTCAAGACAGATCATCTGTCTGAAATGGCAGCTGCAGACCTCAATCTACGGTATATATCAAGCAATCCAACTTCTTGTAATGTCATGACTTCTCTCTGCTTCTTGGGAACACTTCCAGTATCACTACTGGCACTTTGTATGGGTCTCATGGTGTTATTCAATGTTTATGGCATTGCACTAAACACAATAAAAAATACTCAAGAACCTCTAGAGATCACTTTTCCCTGCTATACTCAATTTACTCACATGAAATGATCAACACCACATGATGTTTTAAGCAGATGCTTGCAACATTTGAGCTCACTCAACAGCAAAAGGAGGTAGCTAAGAGATTATTACAGTTCATACTAGTTAATTTTTGATTATTTGCAGTTATGATTTAATATTACATCTTTATGTTAGTTTATATTTCTCTTGACTGTGAATGGCAACATGTATGGTCTGTGTTTGGGTATGTAAGTTTTGATAAAATTAACTTTTTATAATAGATTTGTATATATTTTATGTTTTATAAATTCATGACATATCTTTTTCTTAATTTTTAAAATATTTCTAGGCTACATGGTTCATCTCCAAGTTTTTTCAAATAATCACAAATTTCTAGAAAATTTTCCAATATATTTACTGAAAAAAATCTGGGTACAAGTGGAGCCATGTTCAAGGGTCAACTGTATTAAACACTTACTATGATACAAAGTGTATGCCTAACATATGCTAGCTATTATTTTAAATATTGGGTATTAATTATAAATTATATATTAAAATCTCAGCAAAGATAGGCTGTAGCAAAGTGAAACATTTGTTGAATGAATTGGAAATAAAATGGTTCTCTTCCATTGATGGTTAAATACCTCTCTTTCCCGTTAAGGCAAATTGAATGGTATTGCCTCCAACTCCACAGAATGCATCTATTACAATGTCACACTTGAAGCACTGACTGACTCGGCCAGCAATGTGTTCAGCAATCTTCTCAGGCGTAACCGAAAACCAGCCCTCTGCAAAGGAAGAGTATTTCTGATAACATGTTCAATTTCAAGAAGCCAAGCCAAGTCAAGCATATACACAGCAAACATTACTATATATTATAGACTTTAAAAAATCTTAGTTTCCCTTTACAAAAAAATTATAAATTACCTGTTAATAGTTTAAAAAAAAAGTTCTACAAAACTTGCTATAAAAAAAAGCAGTGCTATTTCCATTCCCAGTTTCCACACAAGCAATTACCCTAATTCTTAACCTGATTCTCTTGTGATGTTGTATACCCCTGTCTTTCCAATAACTGAATTATAACTTCAATGTTTCTATTTGAGGCATTAACTACTGACTATTTTCTATGGAAAATGGAAACTTAGCTGCTCTAATTGGCTGGCTCCCCACACTCCACTGAGCTTCCCAATTATTTCATTCCTAATGGAGAAGCAATGACCCAGATTTGTACTGGACCCTTTGGAACAAATTGTGTGTTTTAAAGGGTCATAAAAAGCAAAGAGCTGATAGCAAATGGCCACAGAGCTACAGAATTATAGTAGGAATAGCAGAACCCTCATCATTCTCAGAAATGAGGTCCTGTGCCCACTCCAGGGGAAAAATACTGCCTTCCTTCTCTCCCAGTAGAAGAAATTTACATTTTCAGAAAGACAATTCTTGAACAAAATGATTTGTCAATTTTCCTGTTCCCTCCCCTTACCAAAACTTTAAATGGCTTCTCATTACTGCAAGAGTAAGAATATTAACTTTTATAGAATTGCAAATTTTTTCCAGTCTTATTTCTCCTTATAAATGCCTATGTCCTTTTTTCGATACACATTTTGCAAATTATTATAAGAGGTTCACAGAACCCCTGAAATTCTATCATGTATCAAGACTTTCTGATTTTGATAATTAATAAAGACCAGTATTTAGGTAGTCCCAATACAAAAATAAACATCAGTCTGTAAGACTGAGTTACACAAATAAGTTGTTGAAGATCACAGCAGGAAAGCTGGAGAAAGAATTCAAAGTTTCTAGTGTTAATTAATTAAATTATATGTTTCTGCACTAGGTATTTCTTCATTAGATATTCTGTTTAATAATCTATCAATTACTTTTGCTATCTATCCTAAGATGTTACAAATACAGATTAAAGTTGAATCTCAAGTTTTAAAAATGCATATATACCCAAACTGAGGAATATTCTATAATAAACTAGCCATTGTCCCTTTGAAAAATGTCAGCCATGAAAGACGAAAAAGGCTGCGAAACTATTGCAGATTAGAAGAAACTAAAGAAACATGAAAACTAAATGCAATACATAGTCCTATACTGGAAGAAAAAAAAATTGATAAAGGACAAGACAATTTTTTAGAGTATGGACTGTAGATTATAATATTATAACAATGTTAAACTGACAAATTTACTATTGTTACACAAAAATGTCCTTAATTTTAGGAAATGAGGGGTAGGGGCATGATGTGTGCAACTGGATCAGAAAAAGATACACAGACATATGGAGAGAGAGAATGATGAAGTAAATGGCAAAACGTTGAAAACAGCTGAATGCAGGTAAAGGGGATATGAACATTTTTTGTACTACTTTTGCATCTTTTTGCAAGTTTGGAATGGGTTCAAAATAAAGTTAAAAAATACATAAATACTTTACCTCTGTCCAATTTAATCCCATCATCAAAACGGGAGAAGAGCCTGTATCTCTGGGCCCAGTATTTTGCTAGCTCTGGAACAGAAGCTATCTCAGGAGGCAGACCATTCACCTTTTTGTTCTTGTTTTTCTTCTTCTTCTTCTTTTTCACTTCAGCTAAAATAAAATACAAAGAATATAGATACTCATTATGAAAAAATGAACATCACAGGTCAATTTATCTAAAAGCGTAGCCACATCAAATAATTACAATTAGAACACGTATGTAATGACACACTCAGAGAAGCAGTAGCGCTTGATGGAAACACCACTGGCTTCAATCACAGCCTCCACTTTGCTAACTTATTGGCTTTGTAAGCTTGGAAAAGTAACCTAGGCTTTCTAAGCTCTGTTACTGAGAATGAATGAATGAGTTAATTAATGAGTAGTATTTGACTAACTTCATTCACAGCAGTGATAGGAAATATGTAAGTACTATTATAGACATAGAAGTTATTGTTTTTGTTAGCATAGACACTGCTTTAGTTGGTGAATTACAGAAATCTAAACATTTCCCTTCACTTCTTTAAAACAAAATGGCCCAAGGACTAGATTAGGCTCTAGCTCTTAGCCACATCAATCCTAGAAGTCACAAGGCATCTGAGAAATTCAAACAGGGGTCACTAGCTCCAATCTGTAGAAAAGGATCTCATTCATTCAGAGACTAATTCTTTTTCTTAGATAAATGATTTTTATTAGTTTGGTTATTTACTTGGTTTCAGTCCCTGGCAAATTAGAAGTAGCAACATAGAAAGATGCAAGTCTGTCACTGATAAGTATAAAAACAGAGGTGATGGCTGACAAGGAATAAAACTCTCTCATGTTTAAATGGTCCTCAATGATAGGACTATGTCTTCATTTTGTCATTTGATCATTGCAAATAGCGAATTATCATGATTTGGTAAGATCAGATCCCCTGGCTCCCCGAAAAGTGTCATCAATAACAAAGTACAGTGTTTCTCAGCAGAGGGGATAATGACATTTTGGATGGAATAATTCTTTGTTGTGTAAGACCATCTTGTACACAACCTAACCTTAAGTAACTTCAGTACTAAATGCCAGAATTACCCAGGTCATTCTAACACCCAGCATCTTCCAAATGCCCCTGTGAAGGTGGCACCATCCCAGGTGAGACTACCAGTCAGCATCCTGACAAATGGTGTTTATGGGAGTAGGATAGTGAAGGAAAATGGGACTTAGGAATTCAAGCAGCTGGTACTGAGTCCTAGCTATGCCACTTACTCAAGCTAACTTATTAATTTCTCAGAATGGAGAATAATCCCACCTACCTCATTGTGCTACCTTACAGATTAAATGAAAATAAGGCACATGAAAGCATTTCAGATATCTGCAAATCTCACATGAACGTCAATTCTTCTAACACTGACAATAAAAGAAATGTAAACTACCTAAAGTAAGCTATTTAGAAAGGCAAAGAAATAGGTGATACAAAGATCATAGGTATACATACCCCCACACCTACACAAAGAAAAAAAAAAAAATAAGACTCAAATAAGGTATTTTCCTTAACACTAAATTAAGAAAGAAAAGATGAAGGATCATAATAAATATAATTGTTTCATAAGAACAGGTTTGAAATAATTTATAAAAAAAATTGAATATTATATCTAATGAAAATTTCTACCCTATAAAGGCCTCAATGTTCCGTTGAATACAATTATTATTTTTAACTATAAAAGAACTTTTGCTACAAAAAATTCAAACAGTATAAAACCGCATAAAGTGAAAATGTTACTCAGTTCTCTATTCATTAAAGCCAACTACTGTGAATACTTTTTTATATCAATGTACCACCAAAAAAAAAAAAAAAACTACTGCCATCACCACCCAGAAAAACAAAACAAACAAACAAAAAACTATCAAAAAGAAAATCAGAGCTACACCAAATTTCAAGAGGGCTCAGAAGGATGGGCTACCTTTAGCCCATGGAAAAGAGTAGCAGTAGAGGCCTAGCTTAAGGGCAGACAGTGGGCCTCAGATGCAGTGTTCGCGCAGGCTTTCCCTTTGACTTTGTCGTGCTGCTCAGGCAAGAGCGAAAGTGCTCTGGGTGCTAAGTCATAGCCAATGAGAACAGTTACACTTAATATGCATTCTTTCCACTTAAAAATAAGAAGCAGTGATTCCTTAGGTATAGATGATTGACATGTGAAAACTGAGGAAAAATATATTAAACAAAAAAAATTTATTTATCTAAATCCATTAGTAAGTTGAAGCACATTTAGTCTTACCTTCACTTTCTGCCTGAAGAGAGTCTGGCATATCTTGAGTAACACAATCCTGCTTATCTGGAACAGTTGCCCCCAAGGCAGCTCCTTCATTTTCTTCTGTTCCAAGTTCACCAGCTGAAGATATGATCTGACATCTTTCAGGTTCTAGATTACTAGTCTCCAGTGGTTCACCACCTTTTTTAACAGACAGGTCTTGTTCCTCTGAATCACTACTTGTGGAAGTGTCTGGCACATTGTTTTGAGAAAATGACTCCTGCGACGCTTCTTCATCCACTGGTTTGTTAACCCATGTTAGGAATTTTTCTACCTTAAATTTTAAGATGACATCATGAGCAGGAATTAATTCCAAATTACACAGAATCTTCCCATCTTTTACCACTGGTGACTTGACTGATAAACTATATCATAAGTATTAGCTCTGCAAAGTACACTGCATCACATAAGCTAATATAAGTAATTCTGACTAATTGGAATTTGTTATCTGGGTAAGCATGACCTTATTAAAGATTTCTTTAAAAGGAAAAGAATATCAGATTAAACACTTTATCAATTAACGCTAAGAGGATAAAGCCAAACTGTCCTAGTAGCTTTCCATAAGAGCTCCTAACAATACAACTGTGCTGAGTGATATTACCATTACAAATGCTCCTACTTATTGCTGAATTATTAATTTTAGTTTTTCAGATTGCAACAGCCAAGCTACAATCTATATTAAATGTTACTTAGCATCAAAGATGAACTCTAAAAGATTAATGCCAATTTGTCTATAAGAATAAAAACGGTGCTACCTTGGAAACAATGAGAGCTGCCTTTTAATGAAACAGTAGAGTCAGTAAGGTAAGTTCTAACAAACCAGGTTTATTCTTAGAAATGTTAACAAGGCTCAAGGTCAGATGATATACTTCCTTGCATCTTCTGTAACAAGACTATTTTTCACATCAGGTCTTCATGACCTTCCGAAGAGTGAGTAAATGAGAACAAAAGTGGTAGACATAAGATAGGCAACAACCCAGAATCTCCCTCGGAGGGAAATGATCCTATATTCCAATCAGATGTCTAAGGACACAACAGCCACATTACTTTCTTCCTCAGCAATGCCTAGTAGCTATGTTTCTGCTTCCCCCTGTAGGGAAATGTATGGGGACTATTATATCCAACACATTGTGGAAAGTCCTACAGGATTAATTGGACTGATACTAGGCAGTCTGTTTCAGAAATAACCAGGGCCATTAAAACATTATTAAAACAGGCCGGGCGCGGTGGCTCACGCCTGTAATCCTAGCTCTCTGGGAGGCCGAGGCAGGCGGATTGTTTGAGCTCAGGAGTTCGAGACCAGACTGAGCAAGAGGGAGACCCCGCCTCTACTAAAATTAGAAAGAAATTAATCGGACAACTAAAAATATATAGAAAAAATTAGCTGGGCATGGTGGCGCATGCCTGTAGTCCCAGCTACTCGGGAGGCTGAGGCAGGAGGATCACTTGAGCCCAAGAGTTTGAGGTTGCTGTGAGCTAGGTTGACGCCACGGCACTCACTCTAGCCAGGACAACAGAGTGAGACTCTGTCTCAAAAAAAAAAAAAAAAAACAAACATTATTAAAATATCACTGGCAGCCAGCCAACCTGAAATATAATAAAAAAATAAAACCAGCTATAAATTTGCAGCATATTTTACAAGTATGCTAAAGTATAAGGAAGGATAATGTATCGTGAGGGTAAAACAGAGTCATCGTGGAGTCTGAGATTATGTTCTACTGTCCTAAAGAGCTGCTGGAGATGTGACTGATACCAAGTTCTGCTCATTAAAAGTTGCTTTTTTTCTAGAATGTATTAACAGAAGGATAACTTGTCAACCCAAGTAATCTTCTAATGACTTTTGTTTCCCAGGTACTTGGATAGCAGGTACAGCAAAGTTCAAGAGAGGGGATATGAATATTCCAATTAACAATGTCAATCAATAAACTGGCCTGTGTTTCACGTTATTAGCGTGAACCCATTATCTCAAAGGGTGATGGTCATCTCTGGATGAGCTCAGAATTAAGGCTTACAATAAAAGCTGCATCAGGATTTGATCCTACTTAGCTTGAAACAGGTGAGAAATTCCTCCTTGCTCTTGTCTGTTATTAAACAGGCAAGGCAATTTGACTTATTTATCTTCCTAGACACTATTACTTTGTAGTTTTCAAGCACTCCCTTTTCACATTACCTCGACTTGCTTTTTTCCAAATTTATTTTATATAATACAAAATAGGCTTCCAGGAAACAAGTTAAAAAAAATTTAGGTACCCTTATATTTGGTAGAAACTGGCTTCCCATTTGAATACAACAGTTTTAAGGAGTCAGGTTCACAAAATGTGATTTCATTTATAAGTATAAAATAGAATTTATACATACCTTACTCAGAGCTTTGCTTTTCTTAAAAAATGGTTTTTCTGACTCCTCAGTAAAGAAGATGTGTTTGTTTTTCACCTTAATTTGTCTGCGCATGTCGAGATACTTAGACTTACGCTTCACATTCTTCTCTAGATACCTGACCTGCCGATGACTGAAATTCGGAATTCCACCATATCTGTGACCAGACAAAAAGAAAGTGACTCACGCCTTAAGTTCTAAGAGTACGTTTCCTTACAAAAAAAGCGAATGAAACTAACAATTTTTACTAGCTTTTCTATTAGCAGTCACCATTTTAATTTCTTTACTTTTTTGTAATGAGATAGGGTCTTGCTATGTTGCCTAGATTGGTCTCAAACTCCTGGACTCAAGCAATCCTCCCACCTCAGCCTCCCAAAGTGCTGGGACATAGTTGTGAGCCACTGTGCCCAGGCCTCTTTTTTTAAATTATGAAAGTGAAATCAAGTTCAAATTGCAGAGTTCAAATAGCTTTTATGTTAATTCTTAAGCAAATGTGAAACATTAAAGTTGGGAGTAGCAACATATCTAATATAGAGCAGAAAGCAGAAATTATATATAATGGACTGCAATAAAGATATAGCAAAAAAACCTATCCCCATTAGGGAAATATAAATTTTCTTAAGGTAGGGTGATGCCAAAGCTCTTTAACACATATCTGGATGTGTGCAAATTACCTTAAGAGTAGTCAGTAAATTCTTAACCTAAATCAATTTGAGCTTACCAAAGAAGCAAACCTCTATTATCAAAATGATTAAAGAATGTCTGATCTAACCACTTGAATTTTTCTACTCTTAAAAGATATGCATCTGCTATGAAGCCTCCTTTAATTATATCAAGCCTAACTCCCTCGACTACAAACTATTAGGAACTTCAGAGTGTAACATACACTTCATAGCATTTATAAAATCCAGAATAGTTTGGCTACAAATGTCAGATCTTATTTTCTAGCCATATTATAAACTTCTTCACAATAAAAAATATATATTAGGCCAGGCGAGGTGGCTCACACCTCGTAATCCTAGCACTCTGGGAGGCTGAGGTAGGGATGGCTTGAGGTCAGGAGTTCGAGAACAGCCTGAGCAAGAACAAGACCCCATCTCTACTAAAGATAGAAAAAGTAGCCAGGCGTGGTAGTACCCGCCTATAGTCCCAGCACTTGGGAAGCTGAGGCAGGAGGATCCCCTTGAACCCAGGAGCTGGAGGTTGCAGTGAGCTATGATGACACCACTGCACTCTAGCCCTGGAGACCTAGAGAGACTCTGTCTCAAAAAAAAAAAAAAAGGTATATATTATTGTCTTTTAAGTAGAAATGGGTACTCGAACTAGAACAGTAGTTAAGTTAAATCCCAGGCCAAAAAAAACCCCAGATCTCTATGAATGCATACTACCAAAAGCTACCCAATATTTTCAATAAAATTACATGTGTGCAGTAATAAATTCTGCCAGGAATTTAAAAACCTTTTACATTGCTAAACTCATGATCTTTAGCCTTAAATGATTATATAAACTACAATTGACTTGATGTACCTATAGGAGAGATAACTAATAATCTTTAGAAACTATAGTATTATAATTATCAGCATGTACTTCTAAACTAATTTGGATTCAATTTATAAGTCAATCTTGACACACTCCTCATGCTCTCTTTTTGCTGACTTCATAAATGTGTAGGTATCTATTTAGATTTCACACAATAAAATAGGATCTGATGTCTCAACTCTTAGATCCTAGTTTGAATTTAATCATTGGTACAAGCCATTATTAGTGTGCCTTACCTAATCAGTTTAGTCTTCATGTCATGTGTGATAACATCTCCAGTTGTTTTTATACAATTACCTACTTATTCATACTATCCTTATATTTAATGCCTGGGCATTTAATCACAGAGAAAACTGGTTTTCTATATACAAATGTTCACAGTAGCTTTACTTACAATAATAAAATACTAGAAATAATCCAAACGCCCTTCAATAGGTGAATGATTGAACAAATTTCGGTATATCCATGCAATGGAATACTATTCAGCAATAAGAAGGAAAGAATGATTGACATGTGCAATAACCTGGAGGGACCTCAAAGGCATTATGCTCAGAGCTTAGGAAACAATTTAGATGTTGTTAATTAGGATGATGAAAAAAACAGAATGCCCCCATTGAAAGGATTAGGTAAATGTGTGTGCCAACCAGGAAGATAATCCACGGTACCTTGTTGAGGGAAAAAAAGCAAGCTGCAGTGTGTACAATATGATCCCATTTTTGTTTTTGATAAAAAAGTAACATCTGTGTACATGTACGTAGTCATAAAAACACACATGAGTAAATCTGGAATGTTATATGCCAAACTCATTAAATAATGCCTACCTGTGGGAATGATCTAAAGGAAACATTTTCACTTTTAACTTATAATTTGTTTGTTTATTGCTGATTTGAATTTTTCATAGCATGTTTGCTATAATCTCCAATGAACACAGGGATAGACATGTGAGACACTAGGTGAGAAGAGAGCCATGCTCAGAAGTCACAAGAGTTGGGCTTAAATCTTCTCTCCGGTAAATGATGGGATCTTGACTAAGTAAAACCTCTGTGAGCTGCAGTTGTTTCATCTATGAGATGGAGTAACTGGACTGCTATAAAGTGCAATTGAGTTACTACATGTGAACATATCAAATGTACAGTGATATCTCTGCTACAATTCTACTAACAGGAGAGATAATTATAACATCTCAAATGCTACCAAATACGTTATCATTTATTAGCTATCTGAATACCAGAGACCTTTAAGACAGCTGAAGTGGTTAGGATTTCTGGTAGACAATAACTTTTATGAATAATTACTTTTGTCCCGAGCCATGCTTGAATCCTAGAAGGGAACCATTGTCATCAAAGTTTGGATCTGGGTTTTCGTCGATGTCTAGTTCATGGCTAAACAAATAAATAAAAGGTAAATAGTGATAAGTCATTATCTTCAGAACCCACCAGATCAGGCAAATGTCAAAAGGTACATATGATCAACCTATGCAAACTTTCCCATCACAGTTATCAACCATAGTTCACAAATCCAGGAAGCCAGAAGGAATATTTTTATCAGGATTTTGCAAATGAGATAAAGTACCCAGCAGTATCTGGAACATAGTAATAAGGACACAAATCTTAAAACACGTGAAGTAATCATTTCTATTCCTGAACATGGTACAACATGATCTCTCCATTTTCCTTTGGAAAGACACAATTAAAAGGTGCAGGCTTAAATTAATCTCCCAGTGATCTCTCCAGAGGTTTTTCTTAAAAACAAACAAGGAAACATTTGATAAGTATCAATCCAATCAAAAAATTTTTAAAAGAAAAAATATTAAGAAGAATAAGGCTGCCATACCAGTGATATTAAGTAACCCAGAGATTCAACCTATCAGGGTTACCTTTTAGTAACTTTGACTACCTGGGCCATAATTCCAACTAAACAAAAATGATGAGGAATTAGTAGGAATTGGGGAGTTAACAAACAATGTCTACTATATAGAGGGAACACAAGTAGAGGCATGCTTTTATGTACTAAGTTACTGAGCCTCCAGAGCTTGCTAGCTGTTTTTCTAGAAGCCATATGGAGCACAAAAGTCTCATGTGGAGCACCTCACATCCTGTTAGAGAAAAGAAATGTTTCTAACTAACATCCAAACTCTGTAGTTTTCTTGTTATCTACAGCATTAGCATTTGACCATATTCTACCTTACATTATTTTCCACTTATTTAATTATACGCACAGGTAGTGTCAACTTCCAAAAAAAAGGTAGAGATGAATCTCAAAAAAAATAAAAAAGAACTTTTATTTGGAAATAAAGCACGAAAATAGAATGTGATTCAAGACATATGCACAGAATGAGGTGGCCTTGTGAATATCTGAAGAACAAAGGAAAAGTTTAGGGTTTTACTAAGGAAACAGGAGGTTATGCAAGTTGTTTAGAAAGAAAGTTTATTGGCACTGGCAGGGTTTTACAAGAGCTGGTGAGTTTTGATTGGGGAGTGCCAGTAGTTGTTAGGTAGACTTTGTAATCTGAGAGTTATGGTAGATCCTTGCAGTTATGGATTGAGCCTGTGAGACAGTGTGTCAGGCAAATGTTCTTGTATAAGTGGCTAGTTGTCCTTCTGTGACTCATGTAGTAAGCTGCAGCTGGGAAACATTTCTTGTGATAGTTCATGTTACCAGGCAAATTGAGTGTGAGAACCCTCCCTTTATAATCTTCCCAGTTGCATCCTTCCAGGGTTTGACACAAGTGTCTCTATTTTGAATCTTACAACTTTCACAGTTGTAAAGAGAAAGAGCGTTGGTGTGGGTAGCACTGGGCTGGGCTCCAGCTTCAGGGCTTCCATTGATGTAAAGTAACTCTGAGCTTGTCACTTCATCCGAGCTTATCACTTTCATCATCTGTACATCGTACATTACTTACCACTGTTTGCATCACTATTCCTATCAAGGTCTATTTCAGTGATAAGAATCTGTAATAATGTATACCCAGACTTTTAAGAAAAAGATTAGAACATGGGGGGAGAGAGAGAGTATCTAATTATCAGTTAAAAGTTATAATCCATTGATAGCGACTAAGTGTGAGATATATTACATGCTAGCTCCAGTCTACCCAAAGATTTCACAAAAAAGGCATCAGTCCCATTTTATAGATGAGAAATTAAGAAATGTATTTAGTTTGTGAGTGATAGAATTGGGATTTGCCTATGGTTCCAAAGGTTCAGGGTCTCACTAGTAGACCCTGTCTCTTCTCACAGGATTAGCAGTATTGTGCATAAAACAAGCATCACTTATGGACACAAATGTTGGTGCTAAGACATTCTGGAGAGACAAGTAATGTGCAACTGACCTCCTCTTGAGTTTGCTTGGCTTGTGCTCAGGTGGGTCTTCTTCGCTCTCCTCGCCATCAATACTGTTGGTGTGTGGTCTGTCTTTGCTTGTGTTTGCTCCTGAAGATTCTTGTGAATCTAAAGAGGCAGAAATATTGCAGTGGATTTTCCCCTTGGTTTGACAACTTTTCTGCCAGTTGCAAAGCCAATCAAAATATTTCAGTGCCTTTTCTGTAATGAACTGTACATGTGCACCAGGCAAAGTACTGGGACACGTCTACCTGTTTGTGTCTACATGCAGACATTTAAAAAATTGTAACTATGTTGATACGATTTGTTAAATTAAATTTAGCTTAAAGGGGTTTCTGCACACATTTTAAGTTTGGCCTAAAGGTTTCTCTGTACACTGTACATAATGACCTGTACCCTAACTGGACATGTAAACTGTAATCTATTCTTATACCAATTAGAGTTTTGGTCAATTACAGGAGGCCAACTGTATTCAAATAAGGCAAACGCTGAGCTGTAACCAATACAGCTGTTACTGTATCTCACTTTCATCTTCTGTACGTCACTCTTCTTTTCCTATTCATAAATGTTATCCAACCATGTGGCAGCCCTCCAGTTGCTCTGAACCTTTTCTGCTTCTGGATGCTGCCTGATTTTCGAATCACTCTTTGTACAATTAAACTCTGTTAAATTTAATTTGTCTTAAGTTTTTCTTTTAACAGGTTTAAAAGTTTCCATGATCTAACTACTTAAAAAAATAAACTAAAACCACTCCTTCATAGCTGCCCAAATCTACCCAAATTAATCCACAAAGCTGCCTTTGTGATAGCTGCTTGTGGTCACATTCTTTTAGAATTTTAATGTAAACGACTCCAAAGACAGCATGATCATCCTGTTTCAAAGAATTTCTCTTCATCACAAGGCAAATACATTTGTATTTAATATAGGTGGTTAAATTAGTAATGGAAGTAAAGATAAGTACAATCTTTATTTTTTATTTTTTTATTTTTTTGAGACAGAGTCTCACTCTGTTGCCGGAGTAGAGCGCCGTGGCATCAGCCTAGCTCACAGCAACCTCAAACTCCTGGGCTCAAGCAATCCTACTGCCTCAGCCTCCCGAGTAGCTGAGACTACAGACATGAACCACCACGCCCGGCTAATTTTTTCTATATAGATTTTTAGTTGTCCAAATAATTTCTTTCTATTTTTAGTAGAGACGGGGTCTCGCTCTTGCTCAGGCTGGTCTCAAACTCCTGACCTTGAGCGATCCACCCGCCTCGGCCTCCCAGAGTGCTAGGATTACAGGCGTGAGCCACTGCACCCGGCCATAAGTACAACCTTTGAAAAGAGTATTTTTAACTTCTTGTGGCTCCAACTGAGGCAAATATCTGTCTTTGTTATTTATTTCATCAGACTGAAGAAAGTGAGTAAGTGAGACTAGAAGAAAGATATCGTAGGGTAGACAGTGGGAAGCTTTGACTGCTGGGGACACTCTTTCAGAAGAGCACCAAACACGAGAAGTAGAAAACACACTTACACAGAAACGTAATATGCACCTTCTAAGTCAAAACCTAAAATCCTCCAGTTGATGCTGATGACAGATACATTGGAGCTAATTACAGAAATGGTCAATCTACACACATAAGGAAGAGAACAGGCAATAGAAGGCAGAGACTGTAATGAGGTTTACTGTGTTTGGCAAAGGAAAGAAGTTGGTAGATGAGGGACGGGAACCAATTATGCTTATTACAAATTTATGGTCAAAATAAGTACAGAAAGATATCAGGAGAGTACAGAAGAGTATCACAATACTAACAAAATCTTCAGATATAAAAGGATGAAAATAACACCAATAGAAAGGAATGAGAATACTGTACTGAAGTAAGCTCCATTGTAAAAGTAGAAAGCAAAGAAAAATAACAAAGTTGAAAGAGTTCTTTAGAAACTCTCTCAACTAGATGGAGATCAGTAATCTGAGATGAGCAGAGCAAACTCAGCTATTCAGTGAAACATCAACACCTTTTGCTTCACATAGGAATAAGACTGAGAAGAAAGTTCCTCTATACTAGATTTCTCCGGCATCAAACACCAAGGATGCCAAGACTTTAGGACATTCAAAAGTCATAAAAATTTCTTCCTCTCCCATTTTCCTGGTGCCACCAATGACACAACCCTTCCCCCTAGCAAGAGCATTCTCATCCCACCCTACTCTGATTAATCTCTTTCAACACACTTCTTCTTCTTTTTTGTTTTTTTTTGAGACAGAGTCTCACTGTGTTGCCTGGGCTAGAGTGCTGTGGCATCATCCTAGCTCACAGCAACCTCAAAGTCCTGGGCTCAAGCGATCCTTCTGCCTCAGCCTCCCGAGTAGCTGGGACTATAGGAATGCGCCAACATGCTCGGCTAATTTTTTCTATATATTTTTAGTTGTCCGATTAATTTTCTTTCTATTTTTAGTAGAGACGGGGTCTCGCTCTTGCTCAGGCTGGTCTCAAACTCCTGAGCTCAAACAATCCACCCGCCTCAGCCTCCCAGAGAGCTAGGATTACAGGCGTGAGCCACCGCGCCTGACCTCAACACACTTCTTATCGGCTTTCTCTAGTCCTCCCAGTGCACCAGTTTGCACAGTGAGTTTTTTTTTTCAATCCCTTATGTAAGAGTCAACAAAGTTCCTTATCCTGGATATTTTATTGATGGGAATCCTGAAATCAACCTGTTCAGTTACAAATTAATATTGTGCTCTGTTGAGATTCTCCTACAGAGCAAGATTTCACGTGTCCTAAATAAATTCTATATATGACCAGAGTAGGTTTGCTTAATGCCAAATGTATGCTTTCAATCAGTCTCTCACATGCCTCCTATAAATTTGTTTGCTGTGGAAAACTGTGAAAGTTCCAAGCTCACTCTAAATTACATTCCTCAAGAGATATCCATGTTTTTCTTCACCGGCCACTAAGGCACAAAAGGAAGGAATGGTATTTTTGAGAACTCTATGCAAATATTCCTATTAATACAAAAGGAAAATATATAACTTGTGATATTAAAATGAGATGGATTAAATAATTTCATTACAGTATGAATATAGTTGGTATTGTTTAACTCTGTTATAAAGTATTAGTAGTAGTTATTTTGCTAAATAAATTCATTTTGCTAACCATTACTCAGCAGAATAAATCTTGCTTAATCTTACCCTGAGCTGGTTGGTCTGTGCTTCTATTCCCAGATGAGCTGCTTTCCTTGGTTCCACCATTATTACACGGTTCACTTTGGCCAGATGCAGGGCACTCTCTCCTGCTGCTAACTTCGCCGAGCTGCTGACAATCATCACGACTTACTGAAGAATCCAATTGGCCCTGTTCTACTTCCTCTGAAATCAGAGTGATATTACTAATTCCATCAAGTATTTCATTATGATCCTTATCACTTGTACCAGAGTTGTCATTATCTATTGCAGTAGGTGAAGACGGAAAAGATATTAAGTTGACTTTCATGTAATTTTCTTCTTTCTTGCTGTCAACTTCTGTTTTAGGTGCACAAGTATCTGTATCACAGCTTTGTGAGGTATCAAAAGTCCAACCCTGAGCTTCCCAATACTGAAACTGTTCCAAATAATACCAATACAGTTGACTATAATGTTGCTCCCATTCTTCCTTTGTATCAGGAAAGTTCCAAGGTTCAGCAGACAGTGTTTGATCTGGATGTTTTTCTTGCCAGCTTTGCCACAACAGTCCTCCTCCATATTCATTCCAATACTTTTCCCATTTCTCTGTAATCTCTAGCTTTGGTGATAATGTCTTTTCAACAGGAAGATTTTCTGTTTCAATGTCTTTTTTGCTTTGAAGTTTACATGTTCTGGTAGTCTCATACTGTTCAACTTCAGATGGATCATCTGAATCCAAAATGTCATCTTCTTCATATTCTTTTCTCCAAGATTCTCGCATAATTTCATTTAAGTATTTCTTCTGATGCTTTTTCTTTTTCTTTTTTATTTTAACTTTATTTCTAGTATTCATAGACACCTACACCAGATAAATGATAACTTGAATATAAAATGCACTTCATATATTATAGAAGAAAGTAGAATCCAAGTCTATTTTGACATTAAACAAAATACTCTCAACGCCACACTCTGGGCTTTTAGTTACACAAATAAGTGACTCTTACTATTTAAGTTCCCAAGAGGAGAAAAAGTCACACATGGGACATATCACGATTGGTAGCTTTGGTTTATTTGTAAAAAGAGGTAGAATGCTCCAATCATGAATGCATTTGATCTGGAATAAAAAGTAATTTGTACACTTGTTGTAGTGGCTCATGCCTGTAATGTTAGCACTCTGGGAGGCCAAGGGAGGAGGATCACTTGAGCTCAGGGGTTCGAGACCAGCCTGAGCAAGAATGAGACCTTGTCTCTACAAAAAATAGAAAAAAATTAGCTGGGCATGGTGGCACTTGCCTGTAGTCCCAGCTACTTGCGAGGATGAGGCAGGAGGATCACCTGAGCCCAGGAGTTTCAGGTTGCAGTGAGCTACGATAACGCCACTGCACTCGACCCTGGGCAATAGAGTGAGACTCTGTCTCAAAGAAAAGGAAAAAAAAAGTAATTCCTTGTGACACTTTATAAAGAAAACTAAGAAGTAGAAATAATGAAAGCAAATTAATACTTACCTCAAAATTTTTATGTGCAGCTATCCCACCAAATTGAAGTGGCAACCCCATACTTCTCATCAGTTCGGCCTCAGAATCAAGTTCATTTTCATCTAAGTCTATGCCTTTGCTGTCACATGATTCTGCAGTACCATGGGAATGACCACCTTCCTCCTCTTCCGTAGTGTGGTCTCCTACACACAGCATTTGTTGGCTTAGTTTTAAAGAAAATTTAGAGGCAGGTTTTCTTATCGTCATTTGAAAGAAGAAAGTGAGATCCAGAGACATTATATGACTTTCCCAATGTAAAGGTATACATATGTTACAATTTTTAAGGGGGAAAAAAAAGAATTGATGGCAATATAGATTAGTAACAAAAATAGCCAATGAAGAATCAAGAGACAACTTCTCAGCTGGCTCTGCCTGCCACTATCCATCCAGATGCCCATTCGACTTGCACTTACCGAGCACGTGCTCTGTGCTGAGCACCGTGCAAAGCACTGAGGATGGAAACAAGGGAGGGCAGGGTGACATAATCCTGCTCCGTGGAGAAAATGCTTACATGTTCACACTCTTTATCTGTAAAACTACTGAATAAAATCAGTGGATTTAAAGTCCTTTTTTGTGGAATTATTTTAGGAGCTGTTAACAAGAGAGGTGAGAGGTATGTGTTCAGGCACCTCACAGACACTTCAACACAATTGGACACTTCAACCACAACTGCGTCCTGCGATTCTGTGGAAGAGCCGATTTAATGAAAGGTTTCTGCTATTAAAAGTTTGAAATCCACTGAATTGGAAGATTCTTTCAAGCTCCTTGAGTCTAGATCTTAAAGAAAAACTGTTTATTACAACAATCAAGTTTTACTTTACCCTAATATGGTTATCTAAGAGACTGTATCACTAATTGAACAAATGCCATTCAAGTGCTCAAGGGCTCTATTAACTGTTTAAAATTTGAGATAACAAAAATCATTTTATATATTAGCATATTCAATTAGTGGTGAGCTGCACTCCAGCCAGATGATCTCAGGCAACAGAACAGTGACTCTTACTTAGCAGAAATGGAGACTTTAAAAGAGAAATCTCATATGTAAATTCTATCAAACAGGCTCCTGCAAGAGGAAAAAAGACACTTCTTTAAATAACACCTATTTAAACCACTCACCATTCCATTCAATGAACTTATGAAAGCTCAGGAGAGAGCAAAATGAGAAAAATGAATAAGCTAAGTTTTATTTTCCTCTTGTGGTGTGCATATTATCTTATGTTCAGTGGGAGCCTAGCGTTTACAGAAACCTTTTTTGTCCAGCATAGCACTGAAACACAAACCAACATTTCATCCAGTGATCAAATGAAGAAACAAAGATTTGTCCCATCATTGTGAGAGTTAAAAGGATTTTCAAAGGTAGCCATGGCACACTGTACTTGGGCTAATTGGCTTCTAACTCCATGCTGCAGCTTTCTCCATGTCTAGAAACAAAAAAAGTCTGTGTGGAAGGACAAATGGAGTAGCGAAGTATGAGAGAGACAAAGCGAGGCTCAACGGACAGACAAATTCTATTTGTACTCGGGAAAGTTAACCCAGATGACTGCCTCTTTATTTCAGGCAAAAGACTATCGATGTTCACTTGGAATTTATCCTGCATCTTTTACCTATACAATAAAATTCTGATGAAGAAACTACACACTCCTTACTTTTCAAAGCTTCGAATTCCAGGTTGCTCTTATGTAATGACAACAACTTAGAAAGGAATGCTTCACAGGACAAAAGAGGCTATATCAAGCCCACATAGAAGGTACAGAAAAATAAAAGATTGGCTAATAGAAGAGATTCTATTAATAGAACCATGTTATAAAAAAATACTGTTTATGATTACAGGATTATTTGGCATTTATCATATTTTATGCTAACAAATTAACATAATATTATAACAAATTATACATAAAGTAATACAGTATTGAGGTTAATTTTAGCAAAAAAGGGCTATAGAGTTTTATACTATATTACCTGCATTGTTGCCACTGTCTTTGACATAGTAGCCTTTTAATCCCAAATTGCACAATTTTCGATCCCTGTGAAGCAAATTAAGCAATCCATATTAAAACAAATTAAGCCATAAACTTAAAGGGGGAAAAAAAGCTCAAGTTAGCATAGATTAATTAATTAAAAGGTTATAAACAGAAAAGCAATCTACTAATACATTTTCCTCACTTATGATATAGAGATACATTTCTCATGGAATTTTTATGAGGATTGATAGCATATGTAAAATATTTAACATAGTACCTAACACACGGTAGCATTTGTTATATAACTACTAATTCTTGAAATTAAGTGGCATTTCTCCCAGATATTGGGCAAAGAATCTGTTCTTTGTTATGATACCTAAATAATGAGGTGTTCTCTAAATTTTGTTGTAAGAAGTCAATATCCAACAATATCCAATTTCCAACAACAGTGGAAAGCTTTGGCTTACACACACATAAATCCATATACAGATCCTAATCCATTTGCAAGTAAGGCAACCTATCCAACATAAATAGTAGATAAGATATTCAGTTTGAGCAAAGGTTTTTTGAAGACTAACAATGAAATTCTTATTTAAATATCTTATCAACCTGAAAAATAAACCGAGGCAAAACAATTCAGTCTCACAGATTATCAAAAACAGTGAATGAACTTTTCTTTACATCCCAACTTCTAAGATTTTTCTTTATGTACTGTGACTGGATATTATCAAAATAAACCTAACAGAACACTTTAGGCCGGGTGTGGTGGCTCACGCCTATAATCCTAGCACTCTGGGAGGCTGAGGCGGGCGGATTGTTTGAGCTCAGGAGTTCGAGACCAGCCTGAGCAAGAGTGAGACCCTGTCTCTACTAAAAATAGAAAGAAATTAGCTGGACGACTAAAAATATATAGAAAAAATTAGCCAGGCATGGTGGCGCATGCCTGTAGTCCCAGCCACTCGGGAGGCTGAGGCAGAAGGATCACTTGAGCCCAGGAATTTGAGGTTGCTGTGAGCCAGGCTGACACCATGGTACTCTAGCCTGGGCAACAGAGTGAGACTCTGCCTCAAAAAAAAAAAAAAAAAAAAAAAAGGGGAAGTTTTTCCTATTAGATAGATCTTCCTACCTATAAATTCAACTGTAATAAACTCCATTGTAACTGCCACAGTAAGGTCAATTGCAAGTCATAACTAACCTTATTTTACTAATGGAGCAATAAATATAACAAAGTAAAATTCCTGTGTACCTGATCTACTTCATATCCTCGTTTCTTTTTTGGGAATACTTGATAATATGCAAAGTAGGTGGTGACTCACAGCAGGACAGTGAAGGGGGTGATGTGCAAATGAGCTCTGGCATCATGACCACTCCCTCCCTCCCCAAGAACATAGGCACTGGGGCAGGGCAAGCAGAAGCTGCACAGAGGGCACGGGTGGTGTGCCCACCAGCACCCACAGACATGGGGCACTGAGGTGTCAGGTGGAGGAGAGGACCAGTATGGTTGCAATACTGGTTATAATGAACAAATAAGTAAATGTACTGAGGATAATAATAGTCGAGATTCTCCTTGTTGAAGTTATTTAAAAACAAGGTGGGCTCAAGACAAGTCATTTAAAAACAAGGCAGGCTAGAAAGAACCCTGAGGTGTTGTTGGGCCAACGCTGGAAGTATTGTTATAAACTCATGGTATATAAGTTTATACACACAGTGGATATGAAAATAGTTTTATATGTGTTATGTATGTATGTATGTATGTGTATGTGTGTACATATACACATATACATATTTATGTACGCATGTGGACGCATATATACCCTGCCTAACTGTATCTATGGAGAAGGTACAGGCACAATAAGCACAATGAACACCCAGCTTTTGGTTTCTAAATACTATTCTCCACTAAGGAACCAGGGTGGCTTGGAGAAATGGCAATTCCTGGTTAGAGCATGGACTGTGAAAGACAGGTCTGGGTCATCTTCTGCCAGAAGGTTGTGAAGCACTCAAAGAATGCTGGGTACACACAAAAGGACAAAGGAGCCACCTCAAAGAGTCTCCCATTGGCTAAATCAGAGACAACATAAGCACCAAAATAAATAATGATAGCAGTGGAATATAACCTGTTAATAAACTAAGAATCCAGAGTCCATGTTAACATAAACAACTACATGGGGAGACAAGGGAAAGTGCTTCTTACAGAATGCTAATTAACAGAAGGAATGCAGAAGGAATGAAGGAAACAAGGCAACCTTTACAGAGGTAGCTGATTCAGGTGGAAGCTGCTGATGAAGGCTAAGGCTTGTAGGTCTGCTGGAAAACAAAATATTGGTGTAATAGTGGAATATGCTCCCACAGATACTGACTAATACAAAGGGAGCCATTGTGACTTTCCAGTAGAGAAACCTGGCAGGCAGCAACATCAGCCATGGTGGTGCGCTGCCTACATAAAGTGCCTCCTTGCTCATACAGAGCTGGGCACAGCATCATTTCCGTGATATTCCTGCGAAGGCATGACCTGTGCTCCTGAGGAAACATAAGATGGACCCAGGTTAAGCAAGGTCATCTTACAGAATGTTAAGGCCATGAAACTTAAAATCCTGTCTGCATCTTGCTCTCAAATGGTTCAGAAAAAGACTAATGATTGTGTTTGTGTGTTTATATATTAACATATATCCCTATGGAGGGGAAGAGATGGAGCAAAGACAGTTAATTGTTAATAGTCGGTAAATCTGGGCAAGGAGAACAACTATTCTTCTAAGTTTGAAATTATTTCAAAATGAATTATCTAAAAATTAAATAACAAAAGCTTTTTATAACACAAGCAACTTTATATAACAAAAACCAATAACCCCACCATTACAGCATTTTCCTATGTTCTATTCTAGGCTTTCTACATGCACACACAAAATTTTCTATAATCATTGTGTAGTTATTTTGTATTCTGATATGTTAATTTAACATAAGGTATTTTTTCATGTTACTACAGAGCCCCTGTAACAATTACTTTTAAGAACTCCATAACATTCCAATTACGTCTTCTTTATACAGATAATGTACAGAAACTTGAATGAGCAGATGAAATAGAATACTACTCTAATTAGTGTTAAGACAGTTTTAATATAATGTCCTTAGAAAACAGAAATTAGTTACACTATTACCTCATATTTCCTGCCTTTGAGGAAAAGTGTTGCAATACTCTTATTTAATATGAGAATCAACTCTTAATCCCTGAGAAGACATCTGGCACCCATGCTAATGCTCATTTTCTATGTTTTCTGCTACATGACACTGATCTTTTAGTTTAATAATCTATTCTAGAATTTTCGTCAGCAATCAAATCTTCTGTTTTTAGATTTTGAAACACTTCTTTTTCCTGTCTTGAAAGTCAGGGTTACACTTATGAGCCCCTGAACTTCTAGCATGTTTCCCATCTCCACAGAATTCTCAATGACTATTGGCAACCATTCCAAGATACTATCTCCAAGTTCTTTTCATTCTAAAGGGTTATAATTTGTCTAAGCATTAACCGATCTAAAGGAAAAAGCCATTCTTTTCCCTTCACCTATTTTGAACTTGGAATGTGCTCCTTAAAGTGAAGTAAAAGTTCTAAGAATATGTATGAAATTACCTGTAATGAAAAGAATGCATGTTTTAGTTCAAAAAGACTAAATTCAATGTAACTGGTGATAAGATAGTTAAATTATTTCAAAAGTTGTTTTAATTCAAATCTAGTCACATAGTGTTTTCTAGAGGTGTGATATGAAAAATTTTCTCAACTTTTTATATTTCTTAACTTATATTCTCTCTTTCTTTTTACAAAGGGGGCTTCATGTAAGCAGCACCAGGACCCAACCAGGCGTAGGCTAAGAATTAAGCATGTAGCCTTGGCTGGCATTGACTGGAGGCTGACTCTTCTTTTTTGGCCTGTACCTCCAACACACAGCCAGGTACCCTTTTCTGGTGAGCTCCTTTGTCCCATGCACAGCACTAGCCTGCAACCACTCCAGGGAAAGGGTCCAGCTTAATAGGTCAGGAAAGGTCCTGAGGAAGGAGTAGAAAGATATTTCTTTATGGGTAAGAGGTGAAACAGGTGTCCAACATTATTACTAGTATGTTCCAGGGCTACAGATAATTTAAGGCAGAAAGATCAGCAATAAGAGAGAATACTAGCTCTTAAATTTTTATGAAAACACTGTTTCTTACTTATAACTTTTGAGTATCTCCAAGAGCATTTGTCACTGGGAATGGCGTATTTCTAATGCCTGGTATTTGAAGAATTTGCCATTGTATTTGCTAAATATTCTCTGTAAAGCAATCTTTGAGTTTGATCAGAGTGTTAACTCTGATCCAGCCCAATGACTAAGGATGAACTAATTTCTGAACCTGACACATGTAAAGGTTAAATAAAACTTAACTACTGATTTGAACTGTAAATCTGGAGACCTGACCTAGATTGCAGTAACCCCACCAAGATACTGCTCTCCTTAGAGCTCTAAGCAGTCACCTGAATTCTCACCACAATACCTTTGAATACAACAATTATCGATACCATGCCTATGTCATCTCTTTATCACAGTACCTGACACTAGGGTGGCCAAAATACATGCTGAATAAATGATTCTTGGAAATCTCTGAAGTACAAGTAGCAATTCCTCTACTGCAAAGGGACTATGAATCAGTTTCATTTTCAAGTAGTAAAAGGAAAAGGAAGTCCTTTCTGCAAGTGCTGAAACGGGATCATAGAAATTTTATGTGACTTGCACAAGGGCACATGACTGGTTTTTGTGAAAGCAGACAGATGTTCTCTGAGGTCTCTATTCTCTTAAATTCTAGCTCTGGAACCTATTGGGAAGAAAACACATCAAATGATTTTGTTATACTGTATATGAAATACTCTAGAGATCATCACTAGGCACTGTCACATGAATATGATCAGAGGTACATACAGGCTTTTCAGTTTCCAGAATAGTCCTTTATCTCAACTAATCTATCTTATTGCTTAATTATTTCAGTAGGATGTAGTGACTTCTTAATCAGGGATATTCAATGAAATCATATGTTCTATATCAACTGGAAGGATAGTAGAAAAGCTCTAGTGTCACACAGATGTCAGGTAGAATTCCAGGGCTGCCACTTACTGGCTATGTGATTTTTTTAAGGCCACTACTGAGATGCCATTTTCTGCCTGAATAAAGAAGGATAACAAGACATACCTCCTCAAGGGGCTGCTGGAAGGCTTAAATAAAGGCTTTTTAAAGAAAAAGTTATTCTGAGGCTTGTTAAAATGGTAAGAAAGGCTTTATTCAGAACAATTGTGACAGGCATCAAGACTATGGCAATAGGGGAGGGGGGAGAGGTGAGGGGAAGAGAGAGAGAATCATGCTCAACTTTGAATACAGCAAAGACAGCTGGGGCTAGATAGCCAATGAACAGAATGAGGGGGGTCAGTGGATGGAAAATTAGTAAGAGGAGACATCAAGGGCAGGGGGCTTCTTGCTAAACAACTTAACAGGATTCTTGCTAAAGGCAGGCCAAGGTGATCAGATAGATATCAAAGGTGGGGGAATTTTCACTAAACCGATTTAGCAGGATTCTTGTTAAAACTGGGCCAGGCAGGCTAAAGACAAAGCCCAAAGGACGAGACCTAATCAGAGAGAGCTCAGAGGAGCCTGAATAAAGTTTGGTCAAGGAGAGAGTCTCTGTCAGTACGAAATGTAAAATAATTAGTTACAGCACTTAATATGCCATCAATTAATCCAGTGGATTTTGCCAATACTAGTGGATACTTTTTAGTTCTCGTTTTGTTTGATATTTTAGCAGCTTTCCAATACTCATAACTCCTTCACTGAAACACTTGGTGGCAGTGTACTTGGGCTTGCCTTCTAGCAGTTTCCCAGTTAATACACTTCTCTTCTCATCTTTAAAAAATGCTGGAAGTCCTGACTGGGCTCAGTGGCTCATGCCTGTAATCCCAGCACTTTGGGAAGCTGAGGTGGGAAGCCTGCTTGAGCCCAGGAGTTCGAAACCAGCCTGGGCAACACAGCAAGACACTACTTCTACCAAAAAAAAAAAATATATATCATACAACAAATGTTGGAATTCCGCAAGGATGGATCCTGCTCCCACCTATCGCCCAAATTAATCACTTCAATTAGTATCTAAGGGTGAATGGCTCAAGTTTTTAACACTAGTCCAGACTTCTCCAGAGCTCCAAATCAACGTGTCCAATCGCTTGTTCAATCTACTCTTGAATGTCTCACAGATACTCCAAAATCGAAAAATACAAAATCAAACTCATGATCTCCTGATTCCTGCTCCAAAATAAAATCCATGATTCTCCAAGGATCCCTACCTCAGTGAAAGGCAGCAATACGAATTAGCAACCAGGGAGTTACCCTTAAGCTGGTCTCCTCCTTCACGTCCTTTCTCTCTTTCATTTCCCCACATCTAATCCAACCCCCAATCCCAATGATTTCTCTCCTACCTTCCCCCTTTCTACTGCCATCTATCCTAATCCAAGTCACAAGAATCTCTTGCCTAGACAATGGCCTTAAATGGTTCTCTTGCTCCACACCATCCTCCACACTGCTGTCACAGTAATCTTTTAAAAATGCAAATCTGATCATGTCACCCTCCAACTTAAGGTTTTCCTATAGTCTGTTTACAAAGTTTTGCATGTTTTGAACCTGCCTACCTCCCCAACCTTATCTCCTTTCTTTCCTAGTCATTTTGTTCAGTTTCCCAGGCTTTCTTTTGCTCCCTCAAGGCCTTTACAGAGTTCAGCCTGCTAAGAATGCTCCCTCCAGAAATACCTCAGTTTATCTCCTTTAAACCTCTTTCCAAATGCTACTTCCCAAAGAAACTTTTGTGACCTTATTTGTTATCACAGCATCCTGTACTTTTCTCTCTTACAGCGCTTATAACTATAATTAAGCAAGTAATTATGTAAACAGTTGTCTTAATTTAATATTGATCTCCTTTGCTAGAAAGTAAACTCCATACATGTAGGGACTGGCTGTCTTGTACCCCAGGCCTGCCAGCATACTTGATACACAGGCGCACAAAAGCATTCACTGAATGAATGTATGATTACGTGCATACCTGACTACAAAGGTGAAAATACTTTTAATGTTAAATTTAACATGGTGTTTCGCTTCTTCTTGGGTTAATTTTCAGATTACTCCACAAAATACACAATAAAAAAGAATTCCTTTAAACTTAAATTCTACTACATTAAACTATAATAAAGTCTATAACATAAAATTCATTTCCACAAGGATTTGAATCTAACAATATGCATGCAAGATCATGGTAACTATTCCCGTTTTAAAGATAAAAAAAAGATTTAAGTGGCTTAATTTACACATTTACTATAAAGAAAAAAATCCTTACAATCCAATTCTCTTGTCGGTTTTTTTCCTAAGCACTTTTTTCCATGTAAGGCAATTTTTATCTGAAACAAACATTTCCCCAAAATAAAGCTATCTCAAAAACTGATGTAAATACAGTTAAGCCTTTTATCTTAAATGATTAGAAGTTCTAAATGCGTGCATTTGAACTTGAATAGATTCCAAGATTTTAAACAAGATGTTAAACAAAGCAAGTTACTCAACTTTAAACTTTCACCTTTTGATGTCACATCTATTAGAGATTTCATTTTACATGTCACTTTCCCTCAATTTTTAAATGCCCTCTAAATTTATAAACATGAGATGACATTTATCAGCTACCACCTTTTTTCATAAAAGCCTATAAAGCAGATGTAGTCCTTCGCTTAATAATAATGGCAGCAGGCGACCACTTCGTAATGTCTGAAGGCTTCTGGTTTGTTTTTTTTTTTTTTTTAAACATAACCTTGCCCAAGGGTCAAATACTCTGGCTGGTTTCGGAGATCAGTTATAACTACGTTTGCAACACCTACATTTCTGGGAAAGGATTGTGCTAGAAAATGAAGACAAATTCGTTTCTACTTACTCTACAAATGCCCTGGAGCAGAGGCAAAGGATCTTATAATCCTCATCCCGGTCTTCAATGAAGAGAAACATTTCGGCCACGCGGCTCCACTTCTCGCAGCACATTTTACCACCTCAGAGGCAGTCCTGCCGTACCCAGCTCGGGCCGGGCCTCCGGGGCCTCTACTCGGTTATTGGAGCCCAAAGATAGGCTTCGCGGGCAAGCCCAGAGTCAGGGGTTAGGAACAGGCCCGGGGGCCGCTCGCGCCCGGAGCCAACCTGGACACCGCCACCGGAAGTGGCTCCAGGCGGCCACGGGAAGGGGCGGGATGACGGGCGGTGTCACATCCAACCCGGCCCGGGCTGCAACCGCCGCTCTGGCGTTTTGCTTGCAGGTTGCTTGGGGGAAACCGGCCGCGAAGTGTTTCCGCCTCACTCGGCCGCTGAGCCACCGAAGAGCTCCCACCGTCGTTCGTGGGTGAAGGCGAGCCACCCATGCCCCCTTCTGTCCGAGGTGCGTCGGTCCCCGCCTTGGCTTCCCCGTGCTCCTCCCGCCCGACGCCGGGTCTCGCTGGGTTGGGAGCGGCGAAGGCCGCGCGTCCAATCTCCCGGGTCGCCCCGGAATCCCTGGATTCCCTGGTCAGGCGGGCTCCGCTTCCCACCGAGCTTGGCGTTCGGCTCGGGAGCCAGAGTGGCCGGGTGGGGAGGTCCTACCTCCCCTGGGTCACAACTAGTCTGTTTTCCTCGGCCCGCATCTCCCCTCGCGCTCTAAAACCTCCAGTTGGGCGCGTTTTGTCTAAACTTAGCTGGAGGGCGAGGCTTCTCCAACGTCTTGAGAGGCCTCTAGGCTTGGCCAGTGACTTCCTGAGTCCGGGACCCAGTTCGAGCTTCCTGTGTGTAAAACCCAAAGGAAAGTGTGGTAATCCCGAGAGTGTAGTGAGCACGCCGCGTGGGTAGTGGTTAGACGAGTGTTCGCATCCAGACAAACCAGGCTTTAAATCCTGGCTTATGCCCCTTTTCTACTCGTGTGACCTGCGTAGCTACTTTTTTTTCTGAGCCACATTTTGATTATCTGTAAAATGGGGATGATTAATATTAAGTACTTCGTGGGGCTGCCGAAAGGACTCAATGAAACAATGTATATGAAACGTTCCATTTATGTTATTAATAGTTTGAGTCGGTACAGACCTTTTAGGTGCCAGGCAGTCTCGGTCCCTGGGGGTTGTAGCCTGTGAAACAGGTCTCTGCCTTGAAGCTGCTAATTATGTAATAAAAATACGTACATGTGCACATAAATAGGATGGAAAAAACTGGAACAGTACTGCTGGATTTGAGATGGTCTGTATTTGGTGTCTGGTGTTTGTTGAGACTGCACCGGCAGCTTCCTTAAAGAAGCAAGTTCAGACTTGAAAGTTGTTGGAGCGCTTGGGACGTGGTTTGTGCTGTTAAATGCCGATATGGTAAAATCCAGACGTTCAGTATGGTCATTAGTATTTTGTCCGCATTTGCTAGTGGGTGGAAATACAAGGTTAATTTTCAAATGTTTTTTCCCACGTCCTTACTGCTGCCCTACTTTGAGGTCAGAGATACGTTGATTTTAGTGATTCGAGGTTAGAGTGCTGCAGAGTTAACTGGTACAATATAGATGTGCAGCATTATTGGGATGAGTGGCCGGGTTAAAAAATAACAGTAGGATGGTAATTATGAAATAGAGTGGAAAGTTAGCTAAAAGTTGAAGGGCATTCTAGGATTTAAAAGAAAGAAAAAATCTTGAAAGGTAATTTATATTAGAATCTTGAGTTTGAAGCTTGAAATTTAAAAGGTATTGTTTTAATGATAAAGGGATTGAATTTGCCAGATATCTTGACTGAAGTATTAAACTGCAGCTTTATTCATAGTTTGAAGTAGAATGCGTATTCACTAAAACTGAGTGCTATATCCTTGTTAAACCATTATTAAATATATGAAAAAGAAAAGAGAAATTTTTTTCTTTTT